CTTAGACCCGCCCTGAGTGAGCTGTCATCAGTCCGCCATTGTTTCACCGCTGGAGCAGATGTAGACAAGAATGACTCCTAAGCGATTGAGGTGTTCTGTTGTTGGATGTAATAATGAAAATAGCAGTCGTCATTTACTTCCCAACATCTGAGCCGCTGAAAACGCAGTGGATTGCGTTTGTTTTTGAAGGGAATGCACCCCCGATCTACCTAAATGCGTCTATGTTCACGCTAATCATTCGTGATCCAGCCTCATCTACAGAAGAAGTGAGCGTAAGGTTTTTTTAATGAATCTTTGCAAATCGCCTTTCCTAATAACGTGCCAGTTAGCAAGTTTCACGATGAATGCGGCTAAAGTTTACCATCTCTCAGAGAGCGGCTCGGAAGAGAGGGGCGGGGCAAGCAGAGCTCATTTGCATTTAAAGCGGCATGCAAGAAAACGTCTCAGGTTACTTATGTAACCATGGTTCCCTGAGTAGGGAACGAGACACTGCGTCCTCTAGGGGTCGCTATGGGGAATGCCTCGTCGTGACCCGTGTCTGAAGGGCCAACGAGTTGTGTTTTTTTTCAATGTATGCTTCAGACACGGGTCACTACGACGCGTTCCCCTTAGCGACCCCTAGAGGACGCAGTTCGAAGTTCCCATGAAAGGGAACAGCTTGCTCTGAAAAGAGCTGTTTTTGACGTTGTTGTTTTACACAACCATTTAGACATTTTAACCAAACTATGTTACAGACTTTTCATTAAGACCCTAAAGAATCATATCAACTTGTGGAAAATGGGCATCCTATGACCCCTTTAACTGTTTCAAAGCGCTCTAATCAGGTCACGTATCGCGAAACATTTGATTCACATCGAGACTTCAAATCATGTAACGCAAATCATTTAGATCGGGACTTTGGAGCCGGTTCGCAAAAAATTTGGTTTAGATCGGAGCTTCAGTCGTGTATCGCGAATCATCTGATCAGGACTTCGGAGTGCGTATCGCGAATCATTTGATGTAGATTGGAACCTCGGAGTGGGTTAGTGAATCATTAAATGAGTTGCAATCTGAAATGATGGTTCGTGAATTAAGATTGGGACTTCGGACCACGGATCACAAATCATTTGATTTAGATCAGGAATTCGGTGTGGGTTCGCAAATTATTTAATTCAGATCCGGACTTCAGAGCGGGTTTGCAAATCATTTGATTTACTGTAGATTGGAACGTAAATTTTTCCGATTCAGATCGGGACTTCGGAGAGGGTTTGTGAATCTTTTTTTCTGATTCCTTTTTTTTATTAAACGGTACAAAACATCAAACCGTTAAGGCAGTACGGTTAAAAACAAAGACAAAAGAAAGAAAGTATACACAAATACAAATCCCTGAAGAAAATTAACCATGGTGGGTTTATTATAGTAAAAGTGTAGTAACTAACCATTTTTTTTTTTTTGGTAGTAAAACCATGGTTAATTTTCATAAGGGATGTGTTGCCAGGTTAACAAACAAACAAATAAATAAAAATGTACACCTTAAGAGGACACAGAGGATAGAGGTGCGGTTTTCACTGCTTCAGTATTAACAGAGCTTTGGATAGTTTCCATATACTTGTCTAGATCAACTTTGAGTGAAGAAAAGAGAAATTTCGATCCAGATTTTTGAAATGAAATTGAAATTTAGCTGGCAAGAAACACAAATTAAGTAAGTTATATTTTCCTGTATTCTTTTTGGAGTAGGCTAGTCAAACAATTCAAAGAAAATATCTTTAAAACAGAAAGAAAGGTCACTTAGGCTACGAAATGAGATTGGACATTCCTTGACTTAAAACTTGTCAGAAAGCAGCCGATTTATCAGAGCTGCACCTTGCTGTGTTTCGCAGTGTTGTGAGGTGAACTGAACAACACATGCTCTGCTGAAACCTCTGAGCAGCAGATGACTGACTGATACTGAAAGAAGAACTGCAGCAGCAGTGATCTGATATCTGTCATCATCATCATTAACTACATGTGTTCATCTGGATCTCAGCCGGCCTTCAGCTCCACACTGCATTCTACTCATGAAAAAGTATACTGAAGTATGGATATGTTGCGTTAAAGAAGTAATGTTTGTCCTGGCCAGCAGAGGACAGTCACGGTTCAGTTTTTTTGTCTTTTATTTTGTCTCAGTCTTCAATTTAATTCTCACCTTTCTTATAAAATGTTTTAATAAACAAAGCAAATTGCAGTTGACTTTGACAGCCAGCGGTAATTATGCAGCTTTGTTGTGTGAAAAAGAATCTCTGACATTTTGATAATGACATCTTTTGTGAAAATAAAAATCTTGATTTCTGCTGCAAAATGCCATAGCATTTTAGAGAAACACTTTTATACCTACCCTAATCATGCTTCATTATTAATGATAATATTTATGCTAATCGTTTGAAGTTGCATTCAGATTCACTTGACTCAAAAATGTGCTCCTTTGAATATGCATGATGCATTTGTCCTTTTTAGCTTAAACCCCGCTCATAACAATATGCATTCTGCTACATAATTTAAGTGACAGTGGATACAGGAAGACTATTTTTATTAGGCAAGCTTTTTGACAGTAAAATCTCAAAATGTAGTGTTGCTTGATTTATGGTTAAAGATAATTTATTTCCCACTAGGAAACTTTATTTTTGTTATGCAGTGATCTTTCACAACCTAGGTATAACCTGTTTGTGAAGAAATATGGAGAGAGAAAATCTTGAATAATTCTTGAAATTGGATTCACTTTGATCTATTCAGTAGAGTCGTGGTTAACTTTTTTCACTGTACTGAAATGAACAAAGCATTTGTGCTGCTCAGCAGTGAATAATGAATCCAGCAGTCAGCTAAGGATTCAGAGCACAAATACAAACATGTTTCCTGCTATTAACGCTCGATGACCACAGTTATGTAAGTGCATATGTGGGTTTAGTGTGTGAAATTCCCATCATACATGTCTGTCACTCATCTCAACACATGCTGCCATTCAGATAAAATATATGTGGGTAATAATATGTAAGATATTCTTCAAGAACCTCCCTGAGCTGCACTCATGAAATATATGCTGTTAATAATAGTTCAGTTTTATTCAATAATGCAGAAAGTTCTGCATGATTCATCAACATTAAAGGCCCAGTGTGTGTGCGTGTGATCTGTCTGGACTCTTTTTCAAGAGCCCACACTTTCAAGGAAAGAAGACTGCATATGTTAAATGAC